GGTGCCGGGGTGAAGGCGGGCGGGGGGAGAGGGTCCTGTGCTGCGCTTTGTCCGATACTTGCGTTTCCGCGGCAGTTTGAGGAGCGGGTGAGGATGCCGGCCAGGTTAAGTCGCCCTCCGGGGAAGGTTCTTATCGGTAGCGGTCTGCTAAATGTCGTGTGGCTTCCGCGTCCTCCCCCCGGCCGTGTAGCACTGGGTTTCTCGCCCTTTGTGTCCAGCCGAGCTGGTCCCGTGTGAGCTTGGGAAGCGGTTTGTTGTTATCCGTGTCCCTTAGGGCGTGGAGAAGGCAGGCAGGTGATCTGGAAAGAGGACCGCTTCCTCTGTTTTAGCTGTTAGTTAGTAATAAACTGGGTTTTTTCCTTTTGTAAGGTACCTCCCCCCCCGCCCCAATGTCCTTTAGAAATGGCAAGACAAAACCCATGCCCACCTTTGAGAGGATACTTTAAAAAATTGCTTAAAGTTGTTCCTCAAAAGGAACAGCCTCATTGTCGAACACAATTTAGCAGATCTCGAGTTAAGAATTGGAGACCTTAAAGAAAAAAATGCGGTCTGAGGGGAAGGTATGGGATTCAAGTAAAGGCTGACGGTAATAGTGTAACTTGCTAAAGTAAATGGGGAAGACCAGTGTGGGATGTCTTGGTCCCACAATGATCTTGATAATTTAAAGGTAAGACCTTAAATTATTCTTACGGCGTACAATGAACGCTAGTTTCTATCTTGATCCTGCTCTGCTGTCTCGTGCTCTCATAGCTGTTCAGTACTCTTGCGTCCCTGACTGAGTACAGCTAGCAGCTGCCTTGAGGTCTGTTTGCTTTTCACCCTTACATACACGGAAGAAAGAGGGAAAGGGATGAGTCCTGGGTTGAGTCCTGCTCATACGTTGTCCTGTCCTGAACTCCCAGGGAGTTTCAGCTAAAGGGCTCTGTGCAGTGCTGGGGGACGCGGTACTTCAGACCCATTTCTTGGTGTGGGGATGGATGCTCTTTTAACTTGCTGTCATGAAAGTGTAACTCTAGAAAGTTTGGCTGTTTCTAGCTCCCGGCGACTGAAAATAAAACACAAAGCTAAGCAACTTATGAAGTTGGTTTTAGGAGAAGAAAATATGTCTCTGAAATTTGCTGGTTCCTAAGTAATTGTGTCATCATGGCCTTTGGGATTATATACAGTGCAGACCAGTTTATGTAGAAATTCTTATGATACTCCTAATAAACTCCATTTAAAACTGATTTAGACTCAAACTACTTTGAACCTAGGTAAAGGTCACTTCCAAAGTGGCGGCTTCTTTTTTAATCAGGAGGTTTCTAAACCACCTGAAGTATTTCTTGAAGTCTGCCATTTTTTTGGTCTTGTTGATAAGCTGATGTTTGGTCTTG